TTTCTCTAATTTTTACGCCTTTGCTTATCTCGTCTGTTGATTTTAATATATCTTCCTCCTCATAATTGAAAACGTTCTTTTCGTCCACATTGTGTCTTACTAGGTGGTCAATTACTGGTACAAACTCGTAGTATTGATTTTACCAGTAATAAACCACTGGTCTACAACAGGGACATTGCGGATATTTTAAGAGTTTTTAATATAAATCGATTGCAGAGCATTAAGTAAATATAAATGTGGAAGAAAAAGTAAACAAATGATCCAAAAGCTAAAACACCAATTGTAGATAAAATGGAATATTACTGGAAAATCATTGAATTCGTGTTCCATTAGTTTACCAATGACAAAGATTGATTTAAATTAGCATTTTCTGATGAATTAAGACGTATTTTATTCCTTTACACATCATATTACGCAGTTAATTGGAAAATACGTTACAGCCATTTATATAAACAAAGATTTAATACGTTTCAAAAAACTTACCATCGACGTGTAGCTTACTAATATGGCCGCCCGGAAAGAAGTGAAAGATTTTTGTTTAGAATTATGTGTATTTTAGCTATGTAAATAGCGTGTTTATAGCTTTTATTTATTATTAAACGTTTGACGGAAGTACGACAATGCTACCGAACGTAAAAAAAGTGGCGGGAAATTCGACAGAAGGTTAATATTTTGATGTGAAGTTAGAAATGGTGTACTACTGGTTCCTGGTGTGGCACTGGTGCACCCAACACGTACAAGAATTGCTCGATTAAAGGATAAGATAAACGTTTACTTATTGACACTTTAAGGACACCCATTCTTTTCACGTTAGATTATGAAGGAAGGACAGGTGCTGCCAAATCTGTAATTTATTAAATGATCAATATTTCATGATCTAGTAATTTTTTTAAGTGAATTCTTTTTGGCTTCTCTTTGTAGCTTCATGACTATTAGCAGTTACTTCTCTTTTAACGTTTTGAAATTATTGTAATTTTCGGCGCCGTAGTTGAATTAATGTGCTCTAAGTATTCTAATGTCATAATTTTAATTTTACCGAGAACGCTGGGTTACCTTAATTTGTACGTAAAATTTCTATTTCCGTTGAGGCTGGACGAGAGTTTTAGCACGCTAATAGTGTTTATTTGCATAATTTACGGAGAGAAACGTCAAGTTTCTCATTCGTTTAAGTCTATGTTCAACTTTCCTATGTTTCTCAAATAGTGTATTCATAACTTTCAATGCCGTAATAGAATTTTTTGACAGCTTATAATAACAAAAATATTATAATAATTAATTGAATCACTTAAATTGCATCACAGTTCGTTACACGTTGCCTTCTAATTTTTGGAAAATTAGTTAGTTAAAAAATTACTTTTTTTAATTTTGAAAACAACATTTCCAACTTTTCGACACACCATCAAAGAAATAAATGGGTGTTGAGAAGTTTATGGCCTAGTCAAGAAAGTAAAATGAAACAATACAAAAATATTTTTATATTTCGACATAATCTATATCAAGCTCTATACATTTTTGTCACCTGCTTCCCATGGCAAGGTCTTGTATAAAATAAGAAGAATCAGCTGGTTGAAGGAATAATTCAAAGTCAAAATCATGAATTTGAGCCATTGGTCTGGTGAAACAATATATTCTTTCTGAGCAATCCCATGCATTTCTTTATTATCGCGTCACCTGAACGAGGAATTTTGTTTCATTGTACCAAGTAGTTCACCATGATAACACTCGTATCCTAAAAAACTAATGCCATCACCTTGCCGGTAGAAAATATTGTCTTCGCTTTCTTCCATCGGTTCCTTTATAGTCAGCCCATGTGGATTTATCGACTTTCGCTATTGATTATGCTTGCTAATGGTGAACTCTGCTATAAGACATGTTCACATAGTTGTTAAAAAATCTTGCGAATCTGTCTCAAATATCTTATATAGTCGCGAGTAATTGTGATTGGAATTCCGTTTTTGTTCGAACGAATGCAATCTAGGAACCCATTGAGTGGAAAACTTAGAATGTTCAAGTTCATTGACTATGACGTTATGCGTTCGTTCATAAGAGGTTTGTTGAGTCTATCTCTACCAATACACTCTTAATAAACCCACTTTCTGATTTTCTCCTTCTCGTCTCGTAGGTTGGCTTTTGTGACCCCTCTGACCAGGTTCTCGCCTTGTTGTGGCGGAGGGAGTAGCCGTGGCTTGGTCACCCACGGTGAGAGTCCACTCAGGGCTGCGCTGGAGAACTGCCCATCATGGTGGAGGTTACGTGTAGGAATTTCCCCCACGTTAGTAAAAAATAGGCTGGTCGGAGTAAGGTTCACCTTGGATGCCCTCTCGTACACGTTTGTATTCTGCCATCCACTTTTTCAAAGTTGTATTTCGTATACGGAGCAGATATTCCTTATGCGGTTTTAGTGTTCATTCAGATCATAGCATTAATTTTTCTTAAGCAAGTATTTCATGACCGTACTTTGTTGAATTTTGTACCATTTTATGAAATTAGCGCGCTTGTTTCACTCAGCCCGTGTTTATTTAAAAACGTCATATGCTACCGTAACAAATTTTACCTAACTAACAATAAATAGATACAATGACAGTATTAAAATTAATATTAAAGCGTGACCGTGCAGTATTCAATCCAATCGCGTACACGTTCACGTACCTACATTTTCATAAGGGTCGCAACGTTCAACGGTAAAATATTTTCTTGTCTTTAAATTGATAAATATTTTTTTATATTATTTATTAATTAAATGTTTTTTACCCTGTTATCAATCCGGAGAGAATATTATTAGCATTTAGGCGAACACTGCCCATTGTTAAATTAAATTGTTTTACTAGACAGACCCTTTGTCCTCCATTGGCTATCAAACGTCGAAATTATAAAAACAAAAGTTTTATAATGAAAAAAGAAAATAACTTTATAACAAAAAAAAAATGTCATACTTGTAGATATTTGGTTACAATATATTCCTTGTTCACTCCTGCGAGAATATATCAATAAATCCCTCCGGCCGCGATTCGTGTAAAATCTGATAGAAATTCGATTTCATATATCAATCCTTCAAATGTTACATGTCACAGACGGTTACATATGTTATGAGGCTGTGGGAAGTTTCCGTTGAAATTTAACAATAAAATTAATATACGAGTACGTTCTCTTTGTAGTTTTATTTAGAAGATACATATTAAATATTTCATAAAGTTTACGATTATATGTATAAATAAAGAGATACTATATACCTTTGAATATGAGCGGTTTTTATTACACATTTAAATTACTTTTAAATTATCATTACTAATTTTTTTACGTTTTTATTTAATGTGATTAATAATTGATACATAATAAATATGTTTATGTCCCTATAGCACTTTTTTAAGGCTTATCCCTCTTATAATCTCTCTGAAATGTGCCTCTGTTTACTTCTCTAAGGTTATAAAGGCTACGACAGTGTTACTATACAGCGCATATCTCCGTGACTATGACCCCGTGGCCCTAATCCTACAGTAAGGGCAATGTTTTAAAATATAAATAAATAAAATAAAATATCTATACGCTACTGCATATAGATATTCCGAAAATCCATGTTGATTGACTGATACTATATATATAATACTATATAGTACTTGGCTTCGAATTCAGTTGGTAGTAGAACGAGTAAGTTTTGATCACACTTGTAATCAAACCATATATGGGATATTTCTGTTCGATTTAATTTACCAAACCAAGGTCAGATTTACTTAGACATATAGAGTTGTAATTTGCTGCTTAAACTTAATATCACAATAATATTATTACTAATCAGCTTATCCTGCAACCATTTAGGCTAAATATTATTCGAAATTGCGGGATGTATAAATTAAACGCTACAGGATACCTAAGTTTAACTTCTTTACGAAAAACATGGACTTGTGTTACATCACGACCTCGAGGTAGTTCGAATAGGTAATGTAAAATTAAACAAAAAATTTTAAGCTCACATACCTGGTCTTAGCCTAAACATATTATTATTTAGCCCGGAACAGGAAAGTATTGCGGCTTATAAAACCAAGCTAAATGCGAATTGTTAAAGATTAACTTAAACTTGCTTCGTTGCTTTCTAAAGACCGGCCGTTAAGTTGCGGTCAAGTTTACTACGTTGGTCATTAACGTTTTAGTGCGACGATGAAACGTAATAAAAGGATGCCAACCTTTCTTGAAGTAAACTTCGACGTGTGATATTAAATTAGGCTAATGCAAGTACGCTGATTAGAAGAGCGTACTCAGTTAGTTTTATTAATCAGGTTAATTTTTCATGTAATTAATTTAGACTGGAATACAAAATTATTAACAGAAAATATTCAAGCTATTCGCTTGCATTAACAAAAGAAACAATTCGCTAATTTACAATCGGCGGTTTGCATAGTTTACTTTGAAGATATGTATTTTGCCGCCCAAATATATTTCATTGTTAGATTCTTTAATTCTGATTTACACATCATAACAAAATGATTTTCTTTTCTGAACATTAAATTATTAAAATTGTATTCGTAATAACGCGTCCACACGGTCCAAATTTCTACATAATTTTTTACCACGTCGTATTGACATACTAATAAAAATTCTCTTAAAAGTATTTGCTTTGTGACATATTGCAAGTTTGCACTTAAACAGTTCGTTGAAGGAATATTATACGCTAAATGAAATTAGTGTTACAGTTTATGTAGAAACAATAATATTAAAGGACAGTTAATGTAACAACTATATTTTCCAGTGTCATGTAAAGGGAAATCTTCGCAAAACCGTAAATGTGTACACTACTTATTAATGTATACGTCAGAAAGCTTCCATAAAACCTCTTTACTAAAAGTACACGTCGAAAGTACAAAGATATACACAGTAACGTGTTATAAACTTTTCGTACGTTCGTCGACACCGGAGTTTGCCATTCGATCATCGTAAGAAAGTTTCACTCACAGCGCAGAATCGGCGACGCTGTCCATTCCGAGCGGCGGGCACCCGCCGAAAAATCAGACGGCTGTCGGCAGCGAGGTGAAATCCGCGCGACCAGTTTCCGTCGGTGCACTCGCCACGCGTCCACAATGACGAAATCCGATCATCCGAAACGGCACACCCGCACTACGCACTCGATATTCCGTTCGTCGGAACGGGAGATTACTGGCTCGTGTGCCGCGGTCGCGGGCGCGTCTCGCGTTCCACTCCCACCGTTTCGCGCGAAAGGTCGTAACTCCGCGTGGGGACGGTCGGTCGTTCGTCGGCGGCGCACTGGGTGCAGCGGACAGCTGGTTGCCGCCGAGCCGAATGTTCCGTCTCTTTCGAAGGCGCTTGCGCATTCCCCACTATCGGAGCTAAAGTCGAACGCAACTCGTTCAGAAATCGAGTGCGAATCATTTCTTTAATGAGATACAGAGTTAGATTTCAATTAGGGTTAAAACTGTGACTGGAATTTTATTTTTTAACAAATAAAACGAGCGCTTTAGAACCACACGAATTTTTTTTTATGCGAAAAGTTGTCAAACGAGCAGACGGTTCACCTGATGTTAAGTGAATACCGCCGCCCATGGACATTTGCCCCACCCGAGGGTTACAGATGCGTTGACAACCTTTTAAAAATTGGAAACTTTAAATTAGACGAAACGCGAAAGTATTTGTCATACTTCCACTTTACGCTTTTCTTCTGTGAGGTCGTACTTACCCGGACGGGCCTGCCCATTCGTGCAACAACTGAGGCTGCTGCGTGGCCCTACCACCATCAATACGAATGAAGTAAAACTTCTTTAGCTCTATGTATAATCTGTACCTCCTGTATCTATATGAATTTACAATTTTATTCATTTTAGACGTTGTAACAAACACTCTTGTCACGCATTCACCAGCTTATTATCCAAGTCAATCATGCATAAAGAAGTTTTACTTTAATTATTAGTTAAATTTAAAGTGTTATAATATAAAATATTTAATATAAAATATTTTATATTATGTTAAATGTTTTGTTTTTTGTACTTTTTCATTTAGATTTTTTGGTGTACAATAAAGTATATTATTATTATTATTAAAAACAATCGAATATCTAAATAAACAATCTTCGAAACAACGTTGTAAGTTAAAAAAATAGGTATGAAACTTAATTTTAAAATTTACCTCTAGTATCATTTCAATGAAGATTTGCACTAACGAGCAAACAGTACTATTTATCATTCTTGACAAAAATAACACGTTCAAAACATTTCGAAAGCAAATGAATAAATATTGCTGAGAAACTATCACTGTCATGAAGTATGACATCACCATTATAATTACACAGAATTTTATTTGATAGTTGATAAAAAATTAAACAGTTTTCTACAGTTATTTCGATCGTATATGATTCACGTTACGACTAGAATTAATTTTTGTTAGTGAAAATGTTCGATCGAGTTACAATAGTAGCGTTGTAGGTCAAACAGGTGAACGCACTTGACCGATTACCGGGTGAGCCGGTGTACAATTGTACGCTCATAATAAAGTGCTGCGAGCCTAATGAAGAGTTGCGGACGGCAAACGGCGAACCATTAATGCTGTGTAGGAAGCGCGCAAATCTTCATCAAAGACAACGTTGTGTCGATGTTTGTCAAGCTTTCTATTTCTTATAACACACACGCATCATATTGATACTTCAACGTTGGTATAAAACTTAATTCTTTCGAGAACACTGTCAAATGGTAATATGTGGCGAATTGTGGTCATATTTGTTGCGATTGTTGTGCGTCACCTACAAACACTTACCGTTAGGTTCGTTCCGTCGCCAATGGCGCAGACCACGACATGTATTCGATTTTTTGGAAGATGAGACGACTATCGCCATCGACAAAATAAAATAATTACGCAAACACACCAGATCACACCGCACTCGCCGGCGAGTGCGGCTAACATATACTAGGTTCCGCCACGTACCTGGCAGGTTTTCCCCCGTTAAGGATAGAAGCGTTGCTGGAGTTTCTTCCGCCACTTCTCCCAGCGCCAACGCTTTCCGAAGTGGTAGTAATGTTAGATCTAGAAATTCTCCGAGTCAGATAATAGCTACTGATCGAGCCGAGGTCCAGCCCTCTCGGGCACCCTAGAATCGGAATGCTAAACGCGTCTTGAGTGACAGCCCAAGCCGAGGTTCCCTCTCGGGGTTCCTTGAGTCTGGTCACTCCATGGAGCGTCCGCCAAAGCGCCCCAAGAGCTTGGCACGTAGGCCGCCCGGTTCCTGACCCGAGTCACGTGCTGTTGGAATTTGAGTTTAGAGTCAAGGACGACACCTAAGTATTTGACTTTATTTACCCATGGAACCGGACTATCCATGAGTTTAACGGGTGGAAGTTTTATGAAATGTTAACGAAAGTAATTTATAACAATGTAACAGCATTTCTCTTGATTTATTATTAGTGGCTTTTTACAGTATTCGCACCAAAAGAATAGTGATACGTAAGAAATACTTTCTGCGGTAGTAAATTAGGATTCCCGTATCGTATGTTATTATTACTTACTACCTGGCTTAGGCTTAAGCAGTCTTCTATCTAAACCGAGTATAATATCCACATGTGATCACACTGTAATTAACGTTTCAGAAACTTCAGCTGATTTGGAACCACTGCTAATTTGACACACAAATATGTATGTTAGTTAACAATACTTCACTGTTTCAGAAATCGCCTGTCAGTCGTGAATGCGGAACTGAAATAGAGCTAAATTAACATTATTCATATATTGTCTAAACCAACTAATTTTCTGAATTAGAGGGTAATAACATTGGTCAAGAAAAGATTGGAATAATATATTTTTATATACTACGGTAAAGAAAGTACTGGAATGATATACATTGACGCGACGAGTAAAGACTTTTATTAACAGAATAAATATATACTTCGTATACACAATTAATAGTGACAATTTGCAACGAAAAATATTTAATTTCTAAAGGTTTTACCATAACAATAAGCGAAGCATATAAGCGGATAAGGTTTACTTTGTTATTTATTTCTAAGAAGTCGTAGGAGAAATTCTTTAAAAATAATCTACTCTTTAATCTGCCCCTGCTCTCGAGAGTACAGTGTGAGGATCTACTGTAGGCGAACAAAGGGGTAAAAAAAAAACTTGTTGGATCTCGACTAGCACTGGTGTATAAGCTAGCAACAATTTCTTTGAAATAGCTTTTTTAAAATGAATTTAACAAACAACTCTTAGTTTCCTTTCTAAATTTGCAAACGTTTTATCTACTATATACTCTTATCATCGACTAGCCTGCAAAAGGCTGGTTTAATTGGTGAAAATTAAAACTCATTCTCCATAATTATGACGTAGGTAAGTAAAGGTTTTTTTTTAATGTTTTCTATGAATGTCGCTCACAGAAGACCAGCGTTAAGTAGGTTTATACTTCCTCATTGCGTCTGATGAGTAAGGTAACCGAGGCTCAACTTTTTAAAAGGTTGACGAAGAATCTGCAACGTGACGAGCCGGCCCATTTATGCAACAGCTGAAGCTAATACTGTAGTAAATACTTGGCAGATTACTACAATTACTCAAAATCGAACCAGAAACCTGGATAAATTGTTAACATAAAAGTATAGTGTTAGATAAATATTAAAAGAATGTTAAAGTACTTACTCATTTATAATGTTTTACTTCTTTCACAAACGCTGAAAATTAATGATATTTTAAGTCATTTATAGAAATTATAATGAAATTTTAGAGATGGTTATGAATATTATTAGCTTTTTTACTACCTTTAGTTTACTGGCGGTTCACGTGATGTTAAGTGAGAACCGCTGTCTATGGAAATTTGCAACTCCCGTAGGTTTGCAGATGCGTTACCATCTTTTAATAAAGTGGGCCCCGGTTACCTCACTCACCAGACGAAACTTGGAAGTATATAACACTACCTCTTCACGCTGGTCTTCTACGAGTTCGTGGTACTTCCCGCGATGGACCCATTTGTGCAATAGCGAAGACTGTTGCGTGGTCCTACTTTAAACAGAAAATTGAGTTAATTAAAATGTTAATTAGACGTCTTTGTACTCAAACAATGACATAAAAGTTAATTAAATAAAAACAACTTTCTTTGAGTTTCACTATACTGTACGTATATATTTGGCAAAATATTATTCGAGTTGGCAGCGCCGCTTGTTATTCGATGGCTATAAGCAAATTGCATGTAAACTGCATGTTTAACATCACAAAAACAATTTATATGGACCGTAATCTTCTTTGCTCCTTATTTAAACTAGCGTTGACAGTTAACAACTGTTGCTTGCATTCGGTATTCAGCTGATGTAGTTTTTGTATCATCTTATTTCACACATAATAGAGTCAACCTTCTGCTTCTAAAACGGTCAAAAACACTGTCCGTTGGGCGCAATTAATATTTTTGTTATTCACTTAAGGAATTGACTTATTTATGTAATTAAAAACCATGTGTGGGGGTGTCTCTGTATGAATCAAGTAAAACTAATAGCCGGGCTTCCTGATTCCACTGCCCGAAGAAAGCCGAAGACAGAGTGGTGTGGAAGCAACTCCTCACCGATTCTGTCAAAGTGTTTCGAGACGGCCACGACCTCCAGTAATGAAGACCACGAAGAGGAAGGTTAAGTGGATGTCCCTACATAGTTTATAGTATGTGTCTAATCTTTTCATCAATGTTTATCTGTGTGTTTCCTAAGTCAATCTGAACTAGGCAATATACATTTTGTAAGTCTCGTGAGAAATTCATACTTGCTGCAAATTAATGGAATAGCTTTATACATGCCTGTGGCAATAACGTTTGAATTTGTAACGAAAATAAGAAAGTACTGTAATAATAAAAATCATGCCAACATTGCACACAGCACAAATAAATATATAGATTAAGGAATGATATATGTATAAAGGAGTTGCTTATTTGCTATTAAATATACTCTATTTTTAATATATAAACGAGCTCTTATTTAGTTCAAGTGGACAGTTCGGTATTAAAAACATAGATGAAGTCTACATAAACCTACAAGAGGTCAAAGAATCCAATAAGTTTCGCTTTCGACGAAACCTGCATTCGGCATTGGACTCGTTATGAGCTATGGTGATGATTTTTATGTACGTAATTTATACGTGAACCTATTAAATATATGGATAAGAATCTATGTTCAATATTTGGCTTTTATGCACCTTGATCAGCGACTTAACGGAATAATCATCTGCTAAGTTGCTTTTATGAAATGTTATTATTACCTTTCCGACGTAAATTGTTTCAAATATGATATTTGTTATGCAATTGCTATATATTCTGATTTAGAATGTTAGTTTATTGATGAGCCGTTAATTGTTCTTATCAAAAATA